TGCCATCCCTTTCAAGCCTTCAAAATGGGGTTTTAAAAAAAAAAAAAAAAAAGACTATTACTTTTGACGTCACTAACATGTGACTTGCAAAAATCACTAGCTTTAGTTTGATTTTTTAAAATATTTTTTATTTAAATAGACTGATCGAAAATGACATCTGAAAATTCTAAATTCTATCTTTTGTTTTTTTTTTGTTACCATCCTAACCGTGGAATGCCGTTGGTATACGTTCCAGACATTAATCATATTTATTGTATTAGTTCATGGCCTCATAGCTCGTTCATGTTCCTGACCAATGCTAATATTTGTATCTAGTTTCCCTGGCTGGCAAAGGCCTCTGTCCGACAAACTGACCCTTCGTCAGAAGGCAACCAATCCATTAAAGGGCACTTAAATCAAGATGCGGGAACTTTGACAGCTTACATCTAAATTTCGACATTTTAATTATTTAGCATGATTTCAAAGCTTTCACTGGGGGGTTGGGGGGGGGGTGGGAGAGAGAGACCTTAAAAAATTATAGCTCGATCTAGGTCATTGGTTACCTTTGCATTCCGTAGGTCAAAGGTCACGAACGACAGACAAACAACCGTGTTGTCCTAGATTCATTGGGTGAAAAGAAGCTTGGTCAGATTGGACCTAGAGATGTCAATAAGTCGCCGTCCTAGTTTCGTTACTGGAAAGCGGGTATGAACAAGCATGGCCCGGATATGAACAAGCATGGCCCGGACATGAACAAGCATGGCCCGGGTATGAACAAGCATGGCCCGGATATGAACAAGCATGGCCCGGGTATGAACAAGCATGGCCCGGACATGAACAAGTATGGCCCGGGTATGAACAAGCATGGCCCGGACATGAACAAGCATGGCCCGGGTATGAACAAGCATGGCCCGGACATGAACAAGCATGGCCCGGGTATGAATAAGCATGGCCCGGATAACCTCTCTACCGTAACAAATGGCCACCCGGACCAAAACAACGAGAGCAAAACTAGAACAGAGAATTCTAACATGGCAAGGGGTGAGGGGGCAAAGTCTTAGCTAGTGGTTCTCAAAGTTGGCGTTAAAGTAGTCAAAGAGGGCGCTGGTTGCGCATGTCAAGTAAAAATTTACCAAAATGTCAAATCAGTTATTAAAAAAAAATATTTTTTTTTTTGGTTAAATCAATTTGTAAATGATGAACGCTCCATTCATTTTTTGTTAAAAACTTAAACACATCAATTCAAATGGATCGTTTTAATTGAGACGATTATTGTCTTTGACAAGATGGACTGCATATTGGCTTGTGCAACTACTAATAACGTCACATGGGAAATGGCGTCGGTGGGCCGTCGAGCGTGAGCTCTTAATGCCCCCCAGCACACTCCCACACGGGCCAAACGCCGTGTCTCCCCGCCACCAGACCGTGTGGGGGCACGCGGGGAATCCCCCTGGCCGGGGACGACAGTTCGACCGAAAATGCGGCGTTTAAAGCATTCGTGGTCCACTCACCCGACTATTAAAAGGGGGCGTCCATTAATTATATCAATAAAATAGGGAGGGGTTTATAAATGTTTGACAATTGCTGACAAGGGAGAGGCAGGGGGGGGGGTTAGATTACTTGACGTCAACAATCATGTTTCACTATTAAAATTTTAATCTTAAAATTTGACTGGTTATTACATCATTTTTTTAAAGTAATGAGTGTAAATTAGGCTTTCAACAATAACGGATTTATTTAATTTGTGTCTGTCTGTGCACTGCTGATGGCTCTATCAATATCATTTATCTTGACTGCACATGACAATTGAACCTTGTCCTTGTTCCATACCTGCAACAGAATCTACAGGTGAAGAGAGGCCAACTATTGACTTCTCTTGCACTAACAAAGTGTGCTAACATTCTGACCAGCGATCGGCAGTGCACAGACACACATTAAATAAATCTTATATTTTTAAAAGCCTAAAAATTATATGACTATTTACACTCATTTACATTTTTTTTTTTAAAATAATGTAATAACCAGTAAAATTATGTTTTTTTTTAAAATAATGTAATAACCAGTAAACATATGTTTTTTTTAAATAATGTAATAACCAGTAAACTTATGTTTTTTTTAAAAATAATGTAATAACCAGTATATTTTTAAGATGAAAATGTTAATAGAGAAAACATGATTGTTGACGTCAACTAATCTAAACTCCCCCATTCCCCCTTGTCAACAACTGTCAAACATTTCCAAACGCCCTCCTCCCCCCCCCCTATTTTGCTGACGTAATTAATGGACGCCCCCATAAAACCGTTGCGTGGTAGGGTAAAAGGGGGGGGGGCGCTAAATATAAACCTTTGGAGAGAAGCTAAGTAAGTCAACTGCTTCACAGCATTAAGTCATATGTATTCAGTCAAGTCATATGTATTCAGTCAAGTCATATGTATTCAGTCAAGTCATATGTATTCAGTCAAGTCATATGTATTCAGTCAAGTCATATGTATTCAGTCAAGTCATATGTATTCAGTCAAGTCATATGTATTCAGTCAAGTCATATGTACTCAGTCAAGTCATATGTATTCAGTCAAGTCATATGTATTCAGTTTTTCCGCTCACACAAGAACCGAAGTGTAACACGTTCCTATTAATTAGAGGTCCTCACCCCGAAGGTCATTCAGATGATGAAACGGGCGAGGATTGGGGGGGGGGATAGAGGGGGATAGGAAGGGATTACATCGAGAAAGCCAAAAACAACATTGAGTGGCGGGACACGTGAAAGACACCTACCATGTGTAAACGTGTTTCTGTTGTTCGCGAACACATTGTCCATTATGTCCATGTGGGTGACCAGCGTTGAACTCATTAGTCACCGTAGTACTGTTTAAGACAACAAAAGAAGACTCCCCTTTTGAAAGAAATACTAACACATTGTGGGGGGGGGGGGCTTCAGAACAATTAAGGAATCTTTCTCATTGGCTCCCATACGAGTGGTTTGAAATGTACACTCAATGAGAACTTACGGGGTCTGTAGGTTGGCTCCCATACGAGTGGTTTGAAATGTACACTCAATGAGAACTTACGGGGTCTGTAGGTTGGCTCCCATACGAGTGGTTTGAAATGTACACTCAATGAGAACTTACGGGGTCTGTAGGTTTGCACAAAACACTTTTAAGGGGTGGATGATTAATACACCCCTCCCCCCCCCTTTTCCACAATGAACAAGACAGATTTCAGTCCTACAATGAAATACAAGACAGATTTCAATCCTATAATGAAATACAAGACAGATTTCAATCCTATAATGAACAACAAGACAGATTTCAATCCTACAATGAAATACAAGACAGATTTCAGTCCTACAATGAAATACAAGACAGATTTCAATCCTACAATGAAATACAAGACAGATTTCAGTCCTACAATGAACAACAAGACAGATTTCAATCCTACAATGAAATGCAAGACAGATTTCAGTCCTACAATGAACAACAAGACAGATTTCAATCCTACAATGAAATACAAGACAGATTTCAATCCTACAATGAACAAGACATGTTTCGTTCTCATCTATCTCGTGTGATTTTCCATCGCCATTCTCACGTGTAACCAAAACTTACTAAGATGGCTTAGGGTATGTTTACAATTTAAAAAAAAAAAAAACGTAAACTAATATTTCAAAATTTGTATGTTAATTTACTCACTGCTTTGGCATTACAAAATAAATAAATAATAATAATAAAAGAAAATCATCAAACACCCCCCCCACCCCTCCCCTCTTTCCGTGAAACATGCCTTAAACTCAGAAGTGTATATCCACACAAGCTCTAATTACGGCTTAAAACAAATGTAGGGGGGAAATCATCAAACACCCCCCCCGCCCCTCCCCTCTTTCCGTGAAACATGTCATAACATGCCTTAAACTCAGAACTGTATATCCACACAAGCTCTAATTACGGCTTAAAACAAATGTAGGGGGAAAATCATCAATTTACCTATATAACCTAGCCTTAAAGATTTAACGTCTAGTAAAGGCTCGATTTTATTTTTAAATTTTCTTTTTAAGGAATATTGATTATTTGCCATCTCCGAATTTCTAAGAGAGATAACCGAGAAAATGGGTGAATTTTATGATAATAATTTGATTGCAATTATTATTTTTTGTTAAAAGTAATAACTCAAAGATCTACACTTTCTCCTTCTTTTATATGTCCTTAAAATGACACTGAGGACTTCTGATTGTACTAAAGGTATGTTGGAGTTGAACTTAAACTTAGACTTACTGTCAATGTATTATTTAACTTTTTTTTTTCTTTTTTTTTTTTGAACATTTCTTAATTAAGTTGGTACATTAAAATTAAAGTCCTTGCCGTATTTCTCTTTTTAATGTGATAGCTGAGTTTGACTCATTGTGAATAGGGGGGAAAAGGAGAATTAATGTGTTCTGGTATTTGATTTAACAAAGATTATCTTCAATGGATTTTAAAAAATATAAACCACAAGCCGCAGCTTGGCTCAGGTCTGCATTTGGAAAAAAAGATAGGTATCTTAAGAATTATCAGCCCTGTCAAAAACACTTCACTAAAGTACCGATCAAAATTTAAATTTCATCCTATTTAAAAAAGCCAGATTTTTTAAAATAAATCTTGTAAACATTGAAATTGGGGCTCATCCAGTTTCAATTTATATTCAAGCTGGGCCATGTCAAATTTTGATTCAAAGATGTCCCATTTTATAAAAAAATGGTTTTCAACAATGCTAAAGCTTCAGAAGTTTATCAGTCAAAATAAAATAGGACCACCGACAGAAACTTATTCATAAGAGCGTCTTAAGTTATCCTTAAGATAGAGGGGGTCTATAAAAATCCAAACAAAGAAACATGTTCACACTAAGCTTTATATTGTATATAGCAAAAGTTGTCTGAAATATTATCTTTCCATACAATTTCATGTTCATAATTCCATTAAACATGAAATTGTCTTCAACAAAAAACTGTTATGTACATTCAAAAACACACAATAATATTACGAAGCAAGTTTTGACTTTAATATTTTATTAAAAACATGAGCAAAAACTCTTCACTGTTTAGTACAAAATTGTGGTTTTCATATAAAAACAGAAAAGTATCAATAACAAAAATGATAATATAAAAAATATGATCTATAATTAAGGAAATCTATCTACTGCAAAAACTTCTTACAAAAAAACAACAACAACCAGTCACTAAACAAGTTTGATAGATGCTCAATTTTGATATAAAACAATAAACATGTGATTAAAATAACAATTTCATGTAAACAATGCAATATCCTATGGTTAAAGTCTTTTTAAAAAAAACAGATCATTTTATAAATGAATTTGCAGTAGAAAAACATGTTTGGAATACTTCAATATACAGAGGCTGACTAATTATGTCATCTACAAATGCAGGGAAACAATTATTCTCTAAGTTAATTATGTTTAACCTGGACACAGTTTCACTTATTTTTTTGTAATTTTTTTTGTTAAATGAATTTTAAAATGTTTAATAAAATAAGTTAACAAAATTAATTAATTTCCAACAGAATACCCGGTACCTAAATCTTGTATTGTATTGATAAAAAAATTCTAATCACGTCTGACAGCCATCTGTCATAGCTTCCCTAAATACAAATTGGCTGTGCACATGTTCAACAGAGAAATGGAGGAAAATGACTCCATAGAAAATTTTACAATACAGATCAATATACAAAATTGTACGTACATTACACACTTTCCTAACGAACCCTTCATTCATATTCAACACATTCATTGAACCCATTTTTGAATATCATATTCTTCATTATTCTGGTAGCATCAACATGAAGTGAACCCTTTAGATTTTAGATGTCTCTTTTATTTGATGGTAATACCTTGCTGTGATTTCAGTCACCAGATGTAGACAAACAGTTAAAGCCTACTCTACTTTCAATACTGAGGTTGAAGGTCAACATTTAAATCCCTGAGTGGAACGGATGTACGCGTGTATAAGACAGCAAGTCAGTTTTTCATAGGTAGGAGGAATCCCTAGACAAAAATCTCAGACGCTAAAAAATATTAACATGAGCCCCAAAACAATGGAATTCTCTCCCATTACGCATCCGCAATATAACAATCATCACAGCCTTCAAAACTATCCTTAAGACCTTTCTTTTCAAACTGTACAATACCGACTCATTCTCACCCCCCTATGACTGATAGACAACGCTCAATGCTGCTGGGTGCTGTCCTTGGCTAGACAGGAGTAGATAGTACTTGGGTGGTTGAGGTCAAGCTTTTCACCAATTGTTGTTTTTAAATGTATACTTTTCTGTAATTGCTCATTTTTAATGCAAGCGCAGTGAGCCTAGCCCTAGGCTGGGGTATTGCAGTGAGCCTAGCCCTAGGCTGGGGTACTGCGCTATATAAAACCACCTAATAATAATAATGTTTAAAAAAAATTCAGCTGTCTCAGCTTCTAAGCTCTTCCAACAACATGGCAATGCAGTTCACCTTTGGTGCAATATATTATACAATTAATTAATTTCTTTTATGTTAGTTTCCTCTTTGCTCTAACTGGAATCTTGGCCATGTAAGAATGATAATAGAAATTTGAAAACAGTGTGATCATTGTAATTCCATAGACGATACTGTAAATACAAAATGAATGGTACTGATAGCCATATCCCGCTACAATCAAACCTATGATGAACTGGATTATCTGCACTTGAGTCACTTCTTTCTTCCACTTTGGTGGGCTGTGAATTGAGCAAGAAAATATTACATTAATTTTTGTAAACAATTATTTGACTGAATTATTAGAAAGGAATTCATCATGAACTACATACAAAGCCTTGACTCATTATTTAAACTTTTGCTTTAAATTTCAAAGAAAATAATTCAACCAGTTAGTGTAACACATTCAAGTGACCACCTCTGTGGACTGACTCAGCCACCCCTCAACCCAGAAAACTGAAAATATTTGGAGTCTAAAATTTGAAAAAATAAACAAATTGATATTTCTATTTCTTAAACAACCCTCTCATTCGTATTTTACTCTTAACTCAAGATGAAATTAAAGATCCTGACGCTAAAGAGATGCCACAATTACTGTATACAGTTCTAACTCTCCTGAACACACACACCATCAAATTAATCACTTATTCTAAAATTTCATTTAGTTTGAAATTTTTTGAAGCGAAAATTTAATTTGAAATAATGAAAACAATTAAACAACAAAATGCACATTTCTTGACTTTCAAGTTGTATAATTAATATGTCTTCTGTAACTTCAAATTACCAATCTAACTTTTCCAATAATAAATTTTTTGGTACATTCTTAACCTCTTTAATCATATAAATGCATAAAGACTTACTTATCCGGCCTGAGGGCAGTGAGGCCATAATACATGTAAAGTATGATATGGACTAGAGAGTTAACTGCTAGAAATGTTGCAATCGAAGGCCATGGGTAATAGAGTCGAGCCATGTCTGAGAGAAGGAGCATGCTGGAGTGGTGATAGCCATGCAGAAAAGAAATCTGTCTGTGACGATGGCGAAGCACCATGAAGACAGTGTCCAGCAGTTCTACAACCTGTGTAATTAGACCAAAAATGTTATATAGTAAGAATTAATATAGCTTGTAATATCCAGTTTTCTAAACTATGTGGTTAAGACAGTGAACATGTCTCAGTTTAAAGTTTAATTCACCCTCATAGTGAATGGTTTTCTATAAATAACTACCTCCCTACATTTTTACATATTCAAGATTTTTAAAAATGAAGAAAAGAAAAAAATACTTTAACAAATTAATTTACCTTAGTGATCCAGTAGAGTTTAAAAACTTGCAAAAGAAGTGGATCATGAGTCTTGCCATAGAGAGACCCATTGGAGTATAAAACAATTGAGAATCCTAAAAATGTGACTACACTAGCTATGCAACAGCCAAAGTTGTGTAGAATAAGTAGCTGGAATGCAAGAGGGAAGTAAGTTATAAAATAAAAAGATTATTTAGCCCATTTTGGAACATATTACTACTGGGGAAAAAACAACATACAGTTAGTCACTTAGTGTAGATACTTTTAAAAATTGCATTTGAGATTGTGAAACTTCAATCAAGAAATACTATTTTCTGACATTAGAGATTTTTAACATACACCCACATATTTTTTTTTTTAAATATTGAAATGTAAGTCAAAAGCAATTCAGTTTAAAGATTTGATTTAAGCAATGATACATTTTATAAAAGCAGATATAACTTGGGAATTAGAGTGCAACAATTTTTATTTCTTTGAAAATCAAACATATTTTCAATAAAATATTTAAAATTGCAGGTGCTCAAAAAGATATTCATAAAAATATAGATGCATTGCATATCCAGTAATGATGAAGAATGAATAATTGCTGAGGTATTATATTTTAAAGGGGTTACAAATTGGATTTATATATATCTATATATAATTCAAAATTATCTTTTCTGGCATATGACAACCATCCTAAGACAAATCGCCTACAGCAGTGGTCGGCAAACTCATTAATCAAAAGAGCCAAAAATCAGCAGCAGGACAATTTAAAAAAATTTTAAGAGCCAAATTTCTTTTCAAGAACCTGCCAAGAATCATGTTTTTCATAGTCAAAATCAATTTGTGGCTGAATTGCTGAGCCGCACTCAGGTCGCTAAAGAGCTCCATGAGCCCCGATAGGCCAACCACTGGCCTACAGATATAAGGAGTGTCCATGGTCTTTGAAAAAAAAAAACAAGAACTCTGTTCAAACTAAAAGCCAAGACTCTGTTCAAAGTTACAATTCACACCAAGGAACTTAAGATTTATTCATACAGCACAATTATTTACAGACTATTTTTAAGGAACAACAGAAAACTCAAGACTGAAAATATATGTACGATTGGAAAAAAAAAGTCAATTTATTTGGATCAATAAAAAATATCTCATCTTATCTTAACCTGAGCCTAAAACATCTTTTTCTTCTCCTTTTTTGTTGTTTCTGCAGTTAGGCATTTTTATAATTTAATGACCCATGGACACTATTAGTCTTATGTTTTCTTTTTACCAGAAATGTTGCTCGGCACATTTATCATTTTTCTCAGGGGATGATAGAAAACCAAGATTTTTCGGAAAGTTTGATCTTTCCCACTAAAATTTAGATATTTAAGAAATAAATTGGATAAATCCTTACATTTTTAAAGAATCTTAGTTGCATATATAAAAAATATTCTTCATATTTTGGATGCACCTCAATTTTTTAAATCTTTTAATTATTAAAAAAAACAACAACGCATGAGAAAATACTAATGTAAAAAGTTATTACGGCTTTGAGATCAAGAGGTTTAGTCCATTTCTGCCATAAACCTGAGGCTGCTATCATTAATATGTATCCCAGAAACAAAGGAACTGATGGCAGTCCAGCTGTCATTAAGAAGAAATTGGTGTAATTTTGTAAGCTCCACATCTCTGTGTCTAAAGACTGAGGAAGAAGAATGGAGATTAATTAGTTTTTACTGGCTTATTATTTACCTTACGCTTACATATAAAACACAAACATTTTGCATTAGAAATAAACAGCATAAAATATTTTTTAATTAGTTGATAATATTTATTTTAAAAAAATCAATTCTCTTAAACTCTCATTCTTCTTTACTTCGTTTCTGTCTGGTTTTTTTTGGCGCCCACTCATATTTTTTCTCTTTTTTTTAGGCAGGATATATGTATATACATATATATATTATGAAAATTTAATTTATACGTATTTAAATGTTTTGTTGTTGTACTGATGAAGGCATGCGCCGAAACGTCTACTTATGTATTATGTAAAATTATTATTAAAGCCTAACATATATTGTTATATTGACACAAATTGTTCGTGTCTAATTAATCTACTTTTTTTATTTTTTTAATTTTTTTTTCCCCCCCCCCCCCCCAAACCCACCATTTAGTGTCACAAATGAGACACTTTTATCACACATTTTGTGACATATCCACAAAAATCATGACGCATGACACCCCCCCCCCTCCCAAACCACCATCACACCTAAACTTATGGATGGCCCCTTACCCCTTAAACCTACAAATAATAACTGTTCGGTTCTTCCAAATACTATTTACATTTTCAAGATAAAATATTATGGAACTTTGAATACAATTTTAAAAGCAGGGTACTCTTCATTAGCTCATTCAAGGTTTCAATTTTTGTTATCACAATTTCATTTTACTCTTTGTCTTATATATTAAACAGTAGCCTGATCATGGATCTAATGTAAAACCTGTTAATAACTGTTAATGTTAAATCTCTTTTATATTATTTGGTGTCCTCCCAAAAAATAAAATAAAAAGCAAACCTACTTTTCCTTTTTTTAAATTTTGTCAGAGTTCAAGAATAAGTTTCAATAATAACTCAAATCATAAAAAAATTTAAGTTGAACATTGAAATTGTTTTTATAAATTATATATAATTTCTAATTAAATTTAGCAAGCATAGGTTAGGCCTGTAATCCTTTATTTTAGTGCACTTAATTCCATAATTTAATTTTTTATAAATTAACAATTTCATTATTAAAAGTATTTTTGTAACAAAATATCGTCCTTCTGTTCAAATACAACAAACATTAAACAAATTATATGAGATTTAAAAAAAAAATACATTTTATGCATCTTTTGTCATTCATGGCACCATTGTGGTAATGCAAGGAGAACTCTTCTGTCTTCCAAAATATGTTTTTTTTGCGTTGCCCAATAGAATGTATTTAAATAATAAATGTATTTATTTTGTTATTACATTATTTAATCCTGTCTATGTGTCTGATATTTTTTTCTTAACAAGTGGTGGGTTTTGATAAGTTTAAATGTTTAAATTTAAGTCTCTCATGTTCAAGGTATTTTCAAGGAAACTGGGGCCATCCATGCAGGGCCGTGCAAAGGTGGGTGTCAATATCAGGGGACCCATTTTCTGTATACTTTGGGCTGTAGTTTTAGGCTTGACCAAGGGTGCCACTTATCCTATGCCTATGCATGATACTGCATCCATAATGACATGACATAACACAACTAGAGTTATTTTTTGTGAGGGAGGGGGGAGGCGCATGAGAGACAATGTTTGTTAAAAGTGTATTACAAATTTGTGACAATTTTGTTGTCAGTAAATAGTTGGTGATTTACAAATTTGAGAATAGCAGGGAAATAATAAGCTTAAAAACAATAGGGAAGTAAACACCTGAAAAAAATAATAATAAATTATAAGTAAAGCTTGTCCTTTGAATTATTTAATATGTCTATGCAGCATGCAATTATGCCCTAGCCTTGCCGTTGCCCTTATTATTTATTGTATAAGAATTGTCTCCCATTTTACTCAGCACAAATCAGAATCAACTTAGACTTAGGTGTCAGCTAACCAGTTATAAAAAAATCATTTATAGTGCTAAAATAAGGGATTAATGAACTGGTTACTCACTGGTACTGGTTAGTCTTCAGAATGTGAGTCTTTTTAATTTTAACTTGATGTTTGAAGTTGTGGTATACCTGAAGTTGTTTTAGTGTCCCCCCAGGCCCCAGTAGACTGATTAGTGACAGTGAGATATTGACAATATAGAATAATACTAGTCAATACTGAAATTACTGTAGTCCTCGATAGGGCAAATAACTTAAGATAGTCATAATAGTTGACATATATTAGACCTACATGATTAGTATTGTATTATTATTGGGCTATATCCCAGGGCTGCCACTCACTTTTTTTAAATTTCCCAAGATTTGGTGAACGAATTTCCCAAGATTTCCCAAGGTCATAAAAATATATAAGAGTTTTGTTTTTTTTAAAGGTTTTTTTCTATGTAATTAATGTAATAATAGATTGAAATAATGCCCCTGAAAAACATGGTACATTAATTGACTGAAATTTATTGAAAAAGATATTTAACAAATTTTTAATCACATAAAAGAAACAATTTGTTTTAAAAAAAATAATTTCTAACCACTGGACTTAGGTTAGTAAATATTACCTCCGAATTCTCTGGTAAAAATATCTACAATACATGTGTAATAGCAGTCACTTGGAAACAAAGCTTACAATGCTAATCAACATAGAAATCCTTTTACAAGGGCAAAAGGCTCCTCATCAAAAAAATTATTTTTCTATTGTAAGTATGTTGATTAGAAGTGGGGTTTGCAAAGCAATTAAGCAAAATTTATTAATAATAATTGTAGTTAAAATGGGTTGATATTATTATGGAAACAATAAGTATTTTTATTTTTTTCTTGTAAATTTACATTATAACGATTTTTTAACACAAAAAAAAATACCTTTAAAGGTATTGTTCATTTATAATACTACAAAGTAGGCCTATACTTTTAATATCTTAGTTACCTGTGTTTCAATCCACAAGTATGAAAATTAGGCTGGATTTTTTATAGATGCATTATATTTTGAATGCATTGTAGAAGTAATTGAAATAATCAAATTTTACTATGTCATTGATTCTTGATTGAACACTAACCTTCACTCTTCGGCTTGTACTGTTTTTCGTATGGCTGCTAATGTCTAATAGCCTAATGATAAAGTTTCCGAGCGTACCCCCCTCCCATTTAATAAACATTCAAAACCTGGATGTAATTTGTAAATCTTCAATTTAAAAAAATAAATAAATAGAAAATTGAATTTTTCTTTAATTATTAATTTTTTTAACAATTCACAATCACAATGATATTAACTTTAATATCAGAAGAGTTTTTTATTTATTTGATAAGTGAATTTAAAAATTAAAACCAGAAAAGAAAATTAAAACAATTTATTTTTTGACTTGTTACTTTAAAAATTATTTTTCTTTATTTTCACTTTATTTTTTATCACATATAGGATGCGTTTTTTCGAAAAATATAATAAAATTTCCCCCAGTTACGATTTCCCAAGGTTTTGCCTGATTTTCAAAATTATTCCCCAGATCCCAAGGGGGGTTGTGAATTCCCAAGATCTTGGGAAATTTCCCAAGGTGTGGTAGCCCTGCTATATCCTACTACTTTTTTGGGTTATTTTAGCAGTGACAGTGACTTCCCTTTTACTAAAAATTCCGAGATCACATAGAGTGACCGAGATATATCCAAGAATGGTCATTTTGAACCAAGGTGATCCCTGAGCATTTTACAAAAGTAATAAAAATTAAAAGGTTGAAATGAATGAAAAATGAATTAATTAAAAAAGAAACTATAATAAGGAGGAAAATTTCAATATTTTCGGGGCATCAAAAAAATCTATTTTTGTTTAATGTCATAAAAATCAAAAGGTTAAATTGTGTCAACACAAAACAATGAATGCATCGGCGAAAAACGAGCATGCTCTTCATTGTCAGTGTCATCAGAAGACACGAACAAATTCTCTTTGTCACTGTAAATGCGAAGACAAGACATCTCCATGGTTATTGTGGATCAGAAGGCAAGATAAAACTCTAGATAGATTGTCAGTATGGATTTGAAAACAATGTTGTTGTTCGTTCTTCGCATCGCCCTTCGCATGCGAAGACGACCAAGGCTTCATTGCACGGTGAGAACGATGGTGGCCAGCCAGTTCTATTTGTGACTGGAAAGTTTTCGGGCGCGTGAGACACACACACTATTTTGGGTCCTAGTTGGATTTGAGTCGATTTGTTGTTTTTTTCTTGCCTTGCGCTCTCTTTGGGGGTGATGGATGCGCTTATTCTCAGAGACTTTTGTCCCGACAGTGAGGCTGACACGCCAGCCTGCACCGTCCATGGCAAGCGTCTCCCACCAATCAAGGTCACTGTCCATGGATTTGAGTAAAGCTCTTAGGAAGTCCTTCAAACGTTTTATCTGCACAGCAACTGAGCGTTTCCCACGAAACGAATACAACGCTACTGCTAGGAGCAGCCCATACAGTTCCAATATTACGTATAACTGAACATAGATTAAGTAAAATATGTTCTTAGATCGCGGACTGTTGAAAAAGTAGAGGTGGGACGGATATGGTCCACGAACTCAAATTTTCAGACCATTGTGCTATAGTAATGTTAATGCTATTGATAAAAACAATATTAATAAATTATAATGTTATGGAAATGTTATTCTTTATTTCTTGAAAATTATTAATCAGTTTCATTATTAAAAATAAAAGGTTATATCCACAAAGATATCATTCAAATGTATACTAAATCACGTTTCCTTGTATTTTAACACAAACAACGCTGAGTGATCAAATGATTTTGGAAATTTTGTCAAATATTTATTACAGGTAAAATGGGAGAACACAATTGATATTTAAATATATTTTTTCAAGAATCACAAATCATAATATTCCATTTGACGCTTAATTATTTTTGTTCTATCCTGATATGGAAGAATTATAAGTAAAAGTATGGATAATTAATTCATAGATTCATATCGTAGAGAGTTTTCTCTTCAGATAATCCCCAATGACAGGCCTGTAGGTCTTCATCCAATAAATGTTTCTCTCTATGCTCTCGAGGGACAAATTCCGGTACCGCTCTCCAGTCCCAGCTTCAGGATACTTTGCAAAGAAATCCTTGACCTTGTCAGATAAAAATATTCAATAATTAGTTACCAAATTGCTACCATACGGAATAGAATTGTAAAAAAAAATAATAATAATAAAATTAACCAACTGTTACGAGTAAATAACGATCCAAACGTGGGAATGTTGCTTTCAGGAAATGGCGTAGCTAGAGTTGGTGTCACCTTGTGGGGTCCGATCCCCGCACCCTCTAATCTACGCCACTGCTTTCAGGCTCTGTCTGATTCTAAACATGCGCAGGGCACCAGTCTCTTTTCACTCGATAAAACGATGTTCTGTGACGTAATGCAGCAGATGGCGAGTTATGTGGACGGTGACAATGCTATCAACACAAAGATATTGGAGGTCATTCGAACTAAACAACAATTTTAATTTACAGGATATTTAAAGTAATGTTTTGAATTTTCTCCTACACGATCAACGTGCTGGAGGACATCGTGATGCGAACCAGTTCCGTTTTCAGGCATGGGCCTAGTGGACACTAGCCCAGGGCCCCGCTCTTGTAGGCCCCCCCTCGTTTCTAAGAGACCCACTCTTATAGAGGCATCATGCTTAACATATTTTTTAAAATTAATATTGAACTATTTTGACAATTTAATTGTATTTAAAATTCCCAATTCCCCAATTTTAACCCACGATATATATCAGAACATTCCAAAATTAATATTATAAATGCGAATCAAAGTTAGACAATTTTTTTTAAATTTTAAAGGGGAATAACTCTCGTCAACTAGTTTTACTTTCCCCATATATGAAACGGCGAAAAAAAAAATAGGCAACAATCAGCGTCGCAGTACAATGTGATAAAAACGTTTGAACTGTCTTTTAATCATATGCATGGAAAATGACGTCCTTATGAGAAAGACCATTGACTTTAAATCAATAATAAAACAATTCTCTGCAAAAAAATTACGCAAACGATTTTATTGATTTATATTAATTAATTTATTCTATCTCTCTGCCAATAATAATTATTTATCATTCTCTGTGATTATTTAGAGCTTATTTCTGATAACGTTTTAAAACTATTATTGATTTTGAATGATTTTGTTTTTTGTATCAATAAATTGAATTCATCGAAGTTTAACTTTATTGAATGTTTATTTTTATTTTACATTTGTCTCCTCTTGGTCAGTTGTTGGGGAGCAGGAACTGTTTGCCCCCTCCCCACTGCTTTAGCATGGGGCGAGTGCCCCCCTTTCGCCCCCCTTCTCACGGCCAAGGTATGTAGTGTTGCTAGGGGGGCCCAGTGCATTGCTGTGCCCATAGCCTCCTATGTTGTTTAGACGGCCCTGATGGGAATTGGGAGACATCATGATGGGACCTGGAGACATCATGATGAGAACTGGAAGACATCGTGATGGGAACTTGGAGACATCATCATGTGAAAAGGAAGACATCGAGATGAGAACTGGAGGTTTTTCAGGCCAAATATCTACAAAGTGTCCCATAGACTGCCACATAATCTCCTCACCAAAGAGAATCTCCATTTAAAATATCAGACTGCAATCTGGAGTGATACCAATCATCGAAAAGAAGAAAACAATAGAAAGAAATTGACTTTTGTGGATGTTATCAGGGACCGCTCGGCGCAAACGGAATGTATATAAATGAATTGCTGTCGACAAAGATTGAAACATTTTACTGAATGGCCACTCACCTCTTGTAGCTGAAGCTCGGTGTTGTAATTCCTTACAATATAGTATAGCATAGTTCCAAAGTAAGAGTCCTCTATAGTGAACCTGTTAAGGATAGGGAAAGAACGAGAAATGAAATAATTTATATAACACACGATACTTTACATATAAACACATGAACATCTACATATCAGTCTTTCAATACAGACATAAAAGTGGGTTGTGCATTGAACGGATCTGAGCTGCTGCACAATGCCACACCCTTGCTAAACGACCGTTGATACACCGCTGCACAATACGTCATAGTGACCCCGAAAGCCCTACAGGGGTGTTAACACTAAGGTTTATACATATTATTATATGATTTTATTTACATTATCGACTAAGCTATAGATTCTAGAGTAATTAATTAGACAGAGGTAATTAGCATACGTTATTAATTTTACTATGATTGTATTTATTAAATTTTGTTGGATATTTAGGCCTACCACGTGATTGCAATGGTCTTTACGGACTATATTAAAAGTGACTATTGCTGTGCATGGTCTGTCTATTGAGATCTATTGCTGCTTTGATTTAGTGTACAGCCCATGTGGACGTAACGTTGTCTCATCCAAAATATGTTTTGGCTTTACTACATTAGTATTTGGTTATATCGAAGCCATTAATGCAATAAGGCATAATCGATATACTTTATTGTACCATTTATTAAAGCATTATGACTACAGCTTTATTGAATCTTTTAAACACTTTGAAAGTTGACCATAGACAAAGAACATACAAACTTGAAGGACGAATGTTCGTGCAACAGTTACAGTCATCTTTCTATTCCAACTACGGGGTTCAAGATACGACACCATTTTTAAAACCTATCCTATCATTTGAATTCTGGTTTTGTGCTACTATTTGTTTGTTGTTTTTTTATAATTTTAAACCAGTGCACATGGAGAATTAAACACATACTATTTCAGATTTCATTTATTTACAGCCATATTCCTTCATATTTGAAGCAACTCATTCCTTCTGATATAACAACTTTTTTAGGGCTGATCGCTGAATGAATTTTTTTTCTGAAGCCAGTGACGCGAGTCCAATGGCTCAATTACTTATTATTTAAAGATAAAATAAAATAATTTAATTTAATGAAATCACCTCAGGTCATCATATAATATGAACTATCAGTTGTTACTTTAATATTTAATATAAATCACTCAACATGTACACAATAATGTCTTCAAATCAAATTTCGCTGCCAAAAAAAAGGGGCATTTCAAATGTTAAACGAAATAATATACTTACTGTAAATTAATTTCAAAATGTGACTAGCTCACCTGTCAATAAAATCCTGGTAGTTTTCCCTTGTCCAGTCCCACAACATGCTCAAAGCGGCACTGTTTGACCCAACTGACCTTAGGACAGTGAAGAAATCTTGTCTCCTGATGCCGATTTCTAGTTTGGCGTATTCGAGAAGTCTGTAAATTTTGAAGGAAATATTTAAGAAATTTTGTACTAAACAAAAAATACATTTCAGTTTGACACAAGAGCACAGTATAAATACGCATCAGTGTTTTCAGTTTGCGACATTAAAATTAAAAACTGTTGTAAGAGGGAGGAGGCCTTCCATATAATACATACGCAAAAAAGTATTATTATCCTTGTTGCACTCCTACATTATTGAAGATTCCCAATGTGTACGCACAAATAAGCATTTTACCCCCCTCCCCCCCCCCTTTTTTTTTGTGTGCACATGTTTTAATTCATTTATAAACAGTTATGACAAACAAGACAATAAAAGGGAGTCCCAAAATATCGTGTTAGAATTATATCGTTTTTTTTTTTCTGCTGTATGTTTGGAGTACAATCTTATTTCAGGCGAATAAAATAATGACGTCACAAAATACGTCACACGCATGGAAACAAAGGCTAGCGGTGAACTATAAGTTTTGACAAGGATAAATATTTCTGTTGCTGTGTTTATAAAAAGTATTATTATCCTTGTTGCACTCCTACATTTTTGAAGATTCCCAATGTGTACGCACAAATAAGCATTTTACCCCCCTCCCCCCCCCCCTTTTTTTTGTGTGCACATGTTTTAATTCATTTATAAACAGTTATGACAAACAAGACAATAAAAGGGAGTCCCAAAATATCGTGTTAGAATTATATCGTTTTTTTTTTCTGCTGTATGTTTGGAGTACAATCTTATTTCAGGCGAATAAAATAATGACGTCACAAAATACGTCACACGCATGGAAACAAAGGCTAGCGGTGAACTGTAAGTTTTGACAAGGATAAATATTTCTGTTGCTGTGTTTAGCGAGTTGTGAAAAAGTAGTGAGAGCAAAAAGCATAAATGTGCCGATAATTACCAAACTTTGCTGCGATATATTCATGGTCTACGAAAAGATTTAAAACATGGATTTCACGTATTTTTTGACATAGCTTTATTGGAATATTTTTGACTGTCAGAATTTCAGGATAATTATTTCACAATATGTGCAAACATGTTCGTACACATTCTTCCGAGAATCCGCACCCCAGCCACGCGCACCCTAACGCTGAATCTCCAAAATCATCCTCCTCCCCCCCCCCCCCCCCCCCCCCTGTGAGAGTCGCCTTCTCTTTGATGAGTTACCATCCAAGGTTAACGAATCACATTCACAATCTGAAAACTATGCCCAAGTGCTTCCTGAATCACACTTTGAACTCAGTAATGTTAACTTCCCCGTAAATTTGGAAGAATGTTTTATGAAAATTGTATTATTATTCCTTCAGTCATGCATCTAACCACAGACATTACATTGTTGCGCGATCACGATGTGAACAAACTTAAAAATACTGTGTTGATGAGTTCATGCAACAAAATTGTATTTCATATGGGGAGATTAAAGGCTGGGGGAGCATTGTAATATGCTTAGTGCGGAATTAAACATTATCATGAATTATATAATGTATTTGCTTTGTATCTAAAAAATACTTAATTTTCTGTTAACAACAAAATATGTCATTATTGGCTTTAAAAAAAAAAATTAATTGAAATATTTAACAAATTTTCTTGATCGAATAATTCTTTTGGGTTCACTGTCTCACTATTATATATATATATAGAGAGGGGCAATTAGAACCCATGAAGATGACGACCATCCCATCGCTTCAATCAAATAGGCGGATTGCGGAAAATGTAGGCCTATATAGCTAAAGCAAGTGCTTCAGCGTACAGACTACCGCTTGACCCAAATGTCTTGGTAACTTTTTCAGCTAAAACGTTCTATAACGTTCCCCTGACTACCGTTAGATATCTGGCTAAAACTTACTTGGCGATCAAATGGAGTTCTCTGACGTCGGTCAAAGCGTTCAGCAGCAGGTTCTTCTCCTGTGGCGATGACTCGGTCAAATATTTGTTCCATATCAAATACCAATCGTCGTCCGTTCCACCAAAACGCATTCCGAACTGATACACCATAGCCCTAAGGTTTCCTGGAACCCTAAATGTTGCAATTGATAGTTACGTTAGATTTTAACTTAATCGTAAGTGTCTTGCAATTTCATTGTAGTAACTGTAGTTACAAGCAATCATGCGTTGTTGCGAAAGAAGGTTGGGAGATTCCCACCGCATCCAAACCCACACCAAAAAGGGATAAGAAAGGAAATGGGACAGTGGACAGAAAGTACGCCTAGAGACAGCAGATAGGCTGACAGAAAGTACGCCTAGAGACAGCAGATAGGCTAACAGAAAGTACGCATAGAGACAGCAGATAGGCTAACAGAAAGTACGCCGTTAAAGGCAGCAGATAAGCTCATGACAGAGAGTACATCTAGAGACAAGGGATATGCTGACAGAAAGTATCGCCGCTTTGAGTAGCACTATTGAACCTTTTCAAACATTATATGAACTTTCCTAAATATTAGATGAGCTTTCCTAAACAGGAGATGAATTTTCCTGAACATTGGTTTATAATTAATCAGCAAAGTTACAGTGGAACAATATAACAAAACAGGCCGAATAACAAAATACCGGTATATATAGAACCCAAACAAGGATACCGCCAATCTCATTTGCATCTACCAATTCTACACTTATTTTACTTTTACTGCTACTGATATCGTAGGGCGGAAAGCATCTCAAGAACAAAAGCCGGGCAACACGGGCCACATTTTATAAACACTAGGCCACCAGGCTACAGTTTCATTTTAGAGGTTTATCAATAATTAATATAGAAGTTGCTTGGTGCGGTCTAAGCTTTTAAAAAATCTTGCAAGTAAAATCTAAAGCACAAGAAAAGTTAAAAATGCTAGTGCATTATACAGCAGATCTCAAAGAGATATTCAATGTATTGAATTGATAGCTTTCAAACTCTTCAGCTTTAAACATATTGAACTTTGTTTATTTCGCTTGAAAGATGCCATCGCTGTCATGCAACATTATGAAGTAGTTGTGGATGGGCCAAGAACAATGTGCGAATTAACTTCAGTATTGTAATTTGAAATATCTATTTAAAAAAAAAAAACAGAGTGAAATAAATCTGGCAATATCTTAAACTTTATGTCATATTTATCTGATACTCTAATGTTCCTACTTACACTGTGCCATTATCCAACCAGCCACGGAACATGTGTATGACATGTTCCAATGTGTCAGCATTCTGGAGACTACAGGAATACCCCAAGATTCTTGATCGCAAAATTCTGAGGAAGTCCCAAAAGTAAATTCATGTATTTTTGGAAGATATCGTTAGACACGCGTTTTAATCTGAGATTGTAATTGCAATAGTCATAGAATAAATGTACATATTATACAGTGGCGTAGCTAGGGTTGGTGTCACCCAGTGCGGTAAATTCATGGTGTCATCCCCCCCCCCTTTTCCGACTTCCACGATGTATTTCTCCTTGTTAAAATGAGTCCACTATATAACAAGGAAAATAAACAAAAACAAAAATAATTGAAGTTCAGGAGGTCAAAGGTCAATGTATTTAAGAACTATAACGTTATCATTATTTTGTGCATTAAATTTACGTCATTAAACAAATTTCCTTTCCTGGTTTTCAAAGCTGCAAACCTGTCAATCACTTGAGCAAAATCAATATCCTTCACATTATCTATTTTAATTAATATTAGAGCCAGATCAAAAAGCCTTGACTGTCCCATGGAGGATCGTAAATACTTCTTGATAATAAAGCCTTTATTTTGAAAAGCTCTGATCACATGAAGCCACATACACACAGATCGTAAGAAACAATTGAAGGCTTAGCGAGAGTACTGGAAGAGATTCTAGGAAGTCTCATTCAGCTATGAATATAAAGACATCAAATACTGACCAGTCCATGACTTTGTGAAATTCAATATCAGCTGCCTTTAGGTGTCTTCTAAGCCTTAATATTTCTTTTAGAAGCTCATCGTCTGATAATTTAACATAGAAAGATGTTAATTTTGGACGGAAATCAATAAGTCTTATTCACTTTCTGATTGTAGACTCTTGGGTTGAAAAGCCCAAAACATATCTGCTACTTTCTTGATCGTAGATGATCTGGTCTGGGGTTCCGGATGAAAGCTATCAATACACTCCAGCTTCTCCATACTGTTTTCTTCAGGCAGAGAGAGTCCAGCATCTATTAACTGTTCTCCTGCCATTCTCTTCTTAAACCTTAATCTTTTTTCTACAGAAATCCCATACTTGTCTTATTTTAAAAGTGCCTTTTCAATAGCACGTTCCGCCAAGTTACAGCGCTTCTCGTGGAGAAACAATATTGTGGCCTCTAGGTTGGTCACCACTTTGTCAAGAGTAAAGCCTTTGCTCTGCATATACTGCTGTATAAGATTAACTTCCTTAAGTAGATAATCCCAAATGGAAATGTAGCAGATAAACGTGAAATCACAGACAGCACGTAAAAGACCTTGTGCTGTATGATTATAGTGCTCAAATGTTAAGGGGCGGTGCTAGTGGCGAATCGGCGAAAAATATTTATTTTCGAATACTTCTTAGTCTTAATATATTTTGATTCAAAAAACATTTTTTTGAATTTAAATAGAAGATATTAGAAAATGTAGTAGAATATTATTTTGTTAACTCTCTAAATGGGTAAAGTGTAATTTTTGTAAGTGTATAATTTTTACCGATTCGATTCATGTACTGAGAATCGCTCGACCACATTGTATTTGGTATCTATGGAAAGATATATTTCTCAAAATTTAGATAAATAAAGCTTCCTGTCACTTACGATAGTTACCGAACACTTCAGTCATGGTCAAAACGGTGTTTTTCTGACCTAATTATAGGGTCAACCCCTACAACCTTGAACTTTTAATAAAGCACGCACGTGGATTAGTTACGTGTGTGAAAAATTTACATGTGATCGCTTATCCTTTTATGAAATTCGATTAGACCGATCAGTTTGTGTTCTGTAAATATGCATTTTTTTCCATTTGGTGTCACCCCCTGGGATGGTGTCACCCGGTGCGGTCTGCTCCCCCGCACCCTCCTTGCTACGCCACTGACATTATATATATATATATATATATATATATATATATATATATATATATATATATATATATATATATATATACATACATATATATTTATAAAGGCTTTATTAAGCTGAGAAACGGGAGACAAGGGGGGTCTTTTAGCCTCTGACTCTCTTCTCGTAAACAAAATAAAAAATAACGAAACAACAACAATTGTGCTACCAAAGCGGTAATATATTTTACCTATCCGAGTTACTTCCCTCATCCTTAAATCCCAGTCTTGCAATGGTAGGTGACAAAATGTTATCCATGTATTTCTGGAGAACAACAACATATGTAGAAATGCATTTCTTGTTTTTAGATACTGTAAAAGCTAACTATTTTTATAAAGGAAAACTTAGTACAGAGGAATGCGATCTCTGAGCAATAATGTTATACCATAATGCATTCGATAAAGCCACGATGGAAATCTAACACTGTTCCGATTAAGGCCATGGGCAAGTCACCCACTTTGCCTTAAGGATAATCCAACTCGTTGAGAGCAATGTGTCAGCCCAGGATGGAGGAATTCCCAAAAAGGGTTGGAGTGGTACGTTAACGTTTTTTTGAAAATTTAATATTCTCCACTCCAGGAAACTAAATGAAGAGATGGGGCCGGCAGATTTGTTAGAACTGTAGAAGAAATGTGTTTGAAAACTGCAGTGCCAACAGACATTATATTATAGATATAACTCTAACTCAGTGTGCCTACACGCCATGCCCCGTATTCTGGGAATCTTTTCAGCATGTTGTTGATATAACTTGTACCACTCTGTAGAGCCGTTCCCCAGGGAATCAGGTGGCGCTCCTTCTCCAAGTAGGACAGCATTTCTAACGGAATCGTGTAGGAAACTTTCCCGGACGCGGCCAAGCTGAAAGCGTCATTCAGCAGGCCGGACCTATCAGCAGCTGAGAGCGTCCAGTTCTGTAGGTGAGACGAGGACAGTTTTAAATGTACATCTGAAAGGAGATGTGGGATGTCTGCACTGTAAGGACATCTTATATATATATATATATTTAAATATAGTTTTAAATCTAGATGTATAAGGAGTTTCGCTATGACTATGAGGACATCTTGTATGTAAGTTTTAAATCTAGATCTATAAGCTATTTTATAAAGGAAAACAACGAACAGAGGAATGCGATCTCTGGGCAAGGAGTTTTGCGATGGCAATGGGGACATCTTATATATTTATAAAATAATATATGTATGTATATATGTATAATTTTAAATCCAGATCTATAAGGAGTTTTGCGCTGCCTACAGCGTGGCCCAAAAAGTGATAACATCTCTTACAGTGTAATAGAGTTAGATCAACATTCATTGTTAACTGTATGCATTTACTGATTTTTTATGCACCTATATAATTATATGATGCCATTATCATGACAATTTCCGGTGGCCATAAATGACTAAACATTATATTATTTCAATTACATTAAATAACCATTTGCTATGAGATGTTCTCACTTTTTTGGGGGGGGGGGGGGGGGGGCCACCCTGCATGTAGACATCTTATATCTATAGTTTTAAATCTAGATTTATAAGGAGATTTGCGAGGTGTATGTGGACATCTTATGTATATATGATTTTAATTAGTTTTTGTAGTGTTGCGTTTGTTTTAAATGTGGTAAATTATAGATTTGTTTTTTGTTGACTTTGTACCGCGCTTCGAGCCTTTGGGGATGAAGCGTGTTTTTGAAATGAACTTTATTATATATATATATATATATTATATATTTAAAAAACGTTAAGGTTCTTTGTTGTTAATGCGGTTGAAAAGAAATCAATAATTTTCATTTGTGGTGTTCAGGAAAACGTTAAAAAAAAAGTCCAGTGTTCTCAATCAATTGCTTACTTCATAGGGATTGTGTTGTAGATATCGGGCAAACCTCCTCCACATCTCATCAGGATAGAGTACAGTGTAGTATCCCATCTGACCAGCATTAAACTTGACCCAACCTTCACCTTGAGGGTCCAGATCTAGGTCCTCGTCAAACGTTACTTGGATAACGAATTCAGACGACAAAATGACGTCATAAACGGGGAAATTATCACTGTTAAGAACTATGATTTAATGACAGGGATGCGAGTTAAAACAATTCCAGAGGCCTTCATTGTGTAAAATGTCCATTAATTCTTTAAATATTTTATGATATATTCCCTATTTTTGATTACCGTTACTGGGGCGTGAGGGGGGGGGGGTATTTTAGTTTTTTCAATGGGTAGGGGGGGGGGGCAAAACCAAAACCTGACCGGCTTGTTGAGTTNTAGGGGGGGGGGGGGCAAAACCAAAACCTGACCGGCTTGTTGGGTTGTTTATTCCTGCAGGCGCCTTAGTAGTAAATATCAATTTAAATAAGAATTGCAATATTTTGTGTTTTTTTGGTAGTATTCACGTTAATTGAGATCTTTTTTTTTAAAACTTATTTCTTTTCGGCAACATTTGATTTTATGTTTTCCCACATACTGATATCTAGAGGGGAAGCAATCTTGAAAATTCAAAGGGAAGAGGGGAAACTTCCCTCTCCCTGCCCTACCCAGATGACGACTCTGCCATGTTACAACATCCCACCTACTGTTATCCCATGTCATAACATCTAACCTACTGTTATTCCATTCACAACATCTAACCTACTGTTACACCATGTCACAACATATAATCTACTAATACCCTGTGTCATAACATCTAATCTACTTTTACTCCATGTCACAACATATAAACTAGTGTTTATTTCACAACATCTAAGGTAATATTATGGCATGTCACAACATCTAAGGTAATATTATCCCATGTCACAACATCTAAGGTAATATTATCCCATGTCACAACATCTAAGGTAATATTATCCCATGTCACAACATGTAAGGTAATATTATCCCATGTCACAACATCTAAGGTAATATTATCCCATGTCACAACATCTAAGGTAATATTATCCCATATCACAACATCTAACCTAATATTACCCCATGTCACGCCCTCCAACCAACTGTTACCCCATTTCACATCTAACCTAATGTTGCCCCATGTCACAACATCTAACCTAATGTTACCCCATGTCACAAAATCTAAGGTAATATTATCCCATGTCACAACATCTAACCCACTGTTACCCCATGTCACATCTAACCTAATGTTGCCCCATGTCACAACATCTACCCTAATATTGCCCCATGTCACAACATCTAACCTACTGTTATCCCATATCACAACATCTAACCTACTGTTATCCCATGTCACAACATCTAACCTACTGTTATCCCATGTCACAACATCTAACCTACTGTTATCCCATATCACAACATCTAACCTACTGTTATCCCATGTCACAACATCTAACCTACTGTTATCCCATATCACAACATCTAACCTACTGTTATCCCATGTCACAACATCTAACCTACTGTTATCCCATATCACAACATCTAACCTACTGTTATCCCATATCACAACATCTAACCTACTGTTATCCCATATCACAACATCTAACCTACTGTTATCCCATATCACAACATCTAACCTACTGTTATCCCATGTCACAACATCTAACCTACTGTTATCCCATATCACAACATCTAACCTACTGTTATCCCATGTCACAACATCTAACCAACTGTTATCCCATGTCACAACATCTAACCTACTGTTATCCCATGTCACAACATCTAACCTACTGTTACCCATGTCATAACATCTAACCTACTGTTATCCCATGTCACAACATCTAACCTACTGTTATTCATATCCATTGTTTTCGTTCCGTTTTTTCCACTTGATGTTTGATAGTTGAGCACGACGTACCACTTGTAGCTGGTGAAATGAAACAAAGAGATGTGGTTGTAAACAAAACAGGTAACGACGTCATAACACCGTCTCTTGGCTGTCCTGTTTTCTTAGTGCGTTGTTTCTAACACACGATTTAACTAAACTAACTTTGATCAGATGTACGTTTTAAAACATTTAAGGTACTTTGTTAATTTATAGTTTACTTTACTTTTTTTAAAAGAAGTCTTTAAAAAAAGCACTAAAATTCTGTCTTTGTGAACACATCAGTAACGAAGAGTTCAACTACCGAACATAGAGCATTCATACTCAGAAATATTAAATTCAAAACTCATCCTTAACCCATGCAATACCCACAAATTCAAATATCACTTTCAATACCCGTACAGATCACATTCAATACCCGTACAGATCACATTCAATACCCGTACAGATCACATTCAATACCCGTACAGATCACATTCAATAGCCGTACAGATCACATTCAATACCCGTACAGATCACATTCAATAGCCGTACAGATCACATTCAATACCCGTACAGATCACATTCAATACCCGTACAGATCACATTCAATACCCGTACAGATCACATTCAATACCCGTACAGATCACATTCAATACCCATACAGATCACATTCAATACCCGTACAGATCACATTCAATACCCGTAAAGATCACAATCAATACCCGTAAAGATCACAATCAATACCCGTACAGATCAAAATCAAAACCCGTACAGTTCACATTCAATACCCGTACACATCACATTCAATACCCGTAAAGATCACATTCAATACCCGTACAGATCAAGACCAGAGCAACTGACACACTGACGACTCGTTGTTAACATCGTCCTAAAATCGTGCACGAACCTAAGTTACGTATTCACTTTAAGGAAATAATTCTCCACTCCATCCACTATTCCTACCTTCTTGCGAATCATGAGTCCACTGTTCCATCCGTAGTCCATCTATCCATCAACCCATCCATCAATCAACCCATCAACCATCCACCCATACACCCAGAAACACATACACACATACTTACTACATACATACATACATACATTCATACATACATACATACATACATACATACATACATACATACATACATACATATATACATACATACACACATACATACATACATACATACATACATACATACATACATACATACATACATACATACATACATACATACATACATACATACATACATACATACATACATACATACATACATACATACATACATACATACATACATACATACATACATACATACATACATACATACATACATACATACATACATACATACATACATACATACATACATACATACATACATACATACATACATACATACATACATACATACATACATACATACATACATACATACATACATACATACATACATACATACATACATACATACATACATACATACATACATACATACATACATACATACATACATACATACATACATACATACATACATACATACATACATACATACATACATACATACATACATACATACATACATACATACATACATACATACATACATACATACATACATACATACATACATACATACATACATACATACATACATACATACATACATACATACATACATACATACATACATACATACATACANGGGGGGGGGGGGGGGGGGGGGGTAATTATATTTCAATCATTTATGGGGCGAAGTCATTAACTATAAATATTTATAGGCATGTTAAATGGTGTGCTAATGACCAAGCAAGCCTGACTTTTCAAAGTAAATTTAAAAAGTTACATAACACTGATAATTTTAAACAGGGAAATATCAAAACTCATTGCACATTTTTTAGTGTTTTTTTTGTTAAATTATAACTTTTAGCTAAAAATATGTTAATTTTGAAAAGTAGTTCAATTATTGAAAGTTACATATTTGTTTCTAACCAAATTAACGGTAATTTCATGCAATATGGTTCAAATACTGCTGGTAATAATTGTTGCTGACCTGTGATAATGTTTGCCAGAGATCATCTGTTTTTGCATTGGCCCATTGGAATTTCTTTAAATACGCCTTTGGGGAAAAGAGGAAGTAACGTTACTCTATTATTAGATGAAAGACTTCTTTGATCTTAACTTAACCAATTCGTAAACATAAGATTTAAAAAGATGCAGAATCAAAATCAAACGAATTTTGCTCAAAGTTGTGCAGAGTCAGAGTACAATAATTTCTACCATTATTATAGATTTCACCTTTAAAGTTAAAAATCGTACTTAGCAGATCTCTTTTTTTTTTTTTAAATGAACATCACAAACCCCTTTGGCCAGTGGGGGTCTATTGAGTGATTTAACCTTGAATTGTCATTGATATACATAGTTCTGTAAGACGTGACCTCGTAATGAAACAATTTCATTGTGCATCTTTCAATACTAACCGAGATTCCTTGAAAAAATTTCTCATCTCCCATGATGTTGTTCAGCATTCTTATGACGGAGGCACCCTGTGAAGATAGAGGAATGAGGTTTGGAAAGAAAGAAAAGAAGTGGCTGATTGAATAAACTTGAAGTTTCTTAAAATCCAACAGGCAATTCAAGCTTGTCTGTAACGTAATTTTTACTTTAACTTTAATATATTTTAATCTGGTTAATGGAGTATTTGAGAATGCCTGAACAGTAACATACACGAGAAGGTCACGCTGGTGGTTTTCATATGTCAGTTTGAACAATCAATACACATGCAACGACATGTTATAGCTATTTTTATTATCAAATTCACATATCCTTTTTTTTTTTAATTGCCTTTTATTTTTTTCAATTTAAGAGATAAAAGAGAAGATTTGTTGAAGGAGAGGAGGTTTGATGGAGAAGAAGGAGGTTTGGTGTAGGAGAGGTTTGGTGCAGGAGAGGTTTGGTGTAGGAGAGGTTTGGTGTAAGAGAGGTTTGGTGTAGGATAGGTTTGGTGTAGGAGAGGTTTGGTGTAGGGGAGGTTTGGTGTAATGGAGGTTTGGTGTAGGAGAGGTTTGGTGTAGGAGAGGTTTGGTGTAGGAGAGATTTGGTGTAAGAGAGGTTTGGTGTAGGAGAGGTTTGGTGTAAGAGAGGTTTGGTGTAAGAGAGGTTTGGTGTAGGAGAGGTTTGGTGTAGGAGAGGTTTGGTGTAAGAGAGGTTTGGTGCAGGAGAGGTTTGGTGCAGGAGAGGATGAGGGAAACCACGTCATAGTGGAAGGCTACTGGCTATCTAGCACAGCAGCGGTTATCAACCTTGTGTGTCGCGACAATCTAAACAAGGGAGAACACTGAACCTTATAGTAGGAAATGTCATCAAAAGCTGACGTCACTTGGACAGGATCACTGACGTCAGAAACAATCGGATGTGACGACAGCTCGCTGTCTTGCTTCATGACTCGGAAAAATGAGTCGTCCAGAAATTTGGTCATCTGGAAATAAACAGGTTTACATGCAGGTGTGCATACATGCGATCATGCAGGTGAATATACAGGTGCAGTCATATAATTGCCCAAATATATTTGCATACAGTTGCTCATACAGGTTTGCATACAAGTGTGCATGCATGTGATCATACAGGTGAATATGCAGATGTGCATTCCGGTGAACATACAGGTGTGCAAACAGGTGAGCATATAGGTGTGCAGACAGGTGAACATACAGGTGTACATACAAGCTAAAATATTTGTGCACATACATGAGCTCTTTTAAGTGATTTCAAGTTTCTATACATGTGCTCACAGACGGGTGTGCTCACAGACGGGCGTGCTCACAGACGGGCGTGCTCACAGACGGGTGTGCTCACAGACGGGTGTGCTCACAGAAGATATTTCAAATGTGTTGGAGAAAATGCGCAAGTATTATTTAAATAGTCTTGTTTTTAAGGAAAAAAACAACTATTTTTCCAAAAAGCGTGTAAATAATAAATAAAGTTTACTTTGTATTTAAATTATAATAATGGTTCCAATAAATAAAAACATGGGGCAGTTACGGTAAAGACCTACAATGTCCCACTCTGGTTCCTTGTCGGCTACAGCCACGTACTCCATGTAGCTAGCAAAGCCTTCATTGAGCCACACGTCATTCCACCAGTCCATGGTAACGAGGTTACCGAACCACTGGAGACATTTAAGGGAAAGATCATTGCATAAATGGCATAAACAATTTAAGCTGTCGAATGCACTCCAGCCAGGGGCCTGAATGCACTCCAGCCAGGGGCCTGAATGCACTCCAGCCAGGGGCCTGAATGCACTCCAGCCAGGGGCCTGAATGCACTCCAGCCAGGGGCCTGAATGCACTCCAGCNGGCATAAACAATTTAAGCTGTCGAATGCACTCCAGCCAGGGGCCTGAATGCACTCCAGCCAGGGGCCTGAATGCACTCCAGCCAGGGGCCTGAATGCACTCCAGCCAGGGGTCTGAATGCACTCCAGCCAGGGGCCTGAATGCACTCCAGCCAGGGGCCTGAATGCACTCCAGCCAGGGGCCTGAATGCACTCCAGCCAGGGGCCTGAATGCCACGAAACTCAAGCATGCTGCGTGGACAAGGGGGTCACTAGTTGAACACACTTATAACAAAATTCGAGGGAAATTTTTTTAAAATTTGAATTTGCTACACTTTGGTGAGCCGAAGCTTAAAGTTTTCTCCATTTAAAAAGATAGTAAATGAAGGACTGGGTTCAAGCAATGTGAAGGAAATAGAAAAACAAAGCACGTGGAAGCTTGAAATAGAAAGACGGGACAGTAAAAGGAGAACGTTCCGTGGTTTGTCCTGCTGGCCGAGGAAGGCATTTAGCCGAAACGTTCTTCTAGTATTGTACTGTCTTTCTGTTTCAAGCGTCCCCATGCCCTACACAAAGCAATGCGGCGAGGTCATTTTTAATTTAAATATACCTTGTATGAAATGTGTAAAAAAAGAAATAGCAATAGGCACATTTCTATTTTATTGGTTAAACTATTTGTTGTAAATTTGTGTTGAGGCCTATGCATCATACTATTGATGAAGTATCATTCACACAACAATCATTAACTGTGACTTAAAACATCGACAGCAAAGTTTAAGGCGGGTTGCGGGGTCGGTTGAGCTTACCCTAATCAACACCAAAGCAAATTGTGTATTTATTACGGTAACATAATGTTATGTCAATGTTCATATGAGTTCACAGATTTGTAAATCCCGAGACACATTTTCTATATGTAAACAAAAGAGCACACAATTTTTTTTTTTTAATTTTTAGTTTAAAGGCAAAAAAGTAAGGTCTCATCTACCTGGTGGGCCATTTCGTGAGACACGACCAACGCCACTTCTTCTGTGCTTGTCTCTGACCCCTGAGGGTCGCGGAGTAGCTTGCTTTCTCTAAAAGTGATGAGCCCCCAGTGTTCGGTGGCCCCGGTCTTGTAGTCAGGAATGGCGATGAGATCTGAAGGATGATGCAAGTATGCAATAGCATAGAGGCACAGCCATTAGTGGTCCTAGGGGGGTAAATCCCCCCCCCCCTTTAGCAGCAGGATAAGCCGTGCATTTCTACGAAGACGAATTTTATTTTTAAATTGGATCCCTTTAAAAAAAAAAAAACTTTCGTTCTACTCGCATCTCCATCTTGTGTGTGGATGGAATGTTATTTTGTGTTTGTTTTTCGTGTGTACACGCTTGAACATGTCAGGTTTCTCGTGCAGTGTTCGTCTGGTGAACGGTTGGAAAAGAATTCTGGGTCGACGGATGCGGGTGGACACTGGCTAATTATCGATGCTGACCGCGTCTGCTCTGCGGCAGTGATTATTTCAGAAATTCCCCCCCCCCCCGGGGTGCCCTTCAGCTTTTTTCGGGTGGGGCAGTGCCAGCAGTGCCAGTTGGTTTATTGTTGGAAATATTTTTGCTCCGGGGGGGGGCACTGGCTTTCGCGGGGGGGGGCAGTGCCCTCCCGGAGATATAGCTTAAAGAAAACCTGCTCTGCGGTTGAGTGAACGGGTAGGAGGGTGTGCTCAGATCTACTTTTTTGAAAAAAGATTTTAGTGTTCTGCCTAATTAAAGAGTTAAGTCACTTCAACCGGAATTTCTTAAGCATTTGATGTTTAAATTTTTTTTTAAAATTCCACTAGGATCGATAATTAAAATGTCACCATTTTAATACTAAAAAGTAGGGTGTTTATTAATATTAAACAAACTACCTTGTTTTGGCAATGGGTATGTTATATTGAACAAAGTCCCAAAACTGTCTATAACTCTTGTCGCTACTTCCAGGGCGTAAACAGTTAGGTCCACTTTGTCTGGTGTTGCAAAAACTCTTATCTAGATCAGAGTTGAAGATAACTCGTAGTGTATTAAAGATGCTAAAAAATACATCATGTTTGCTGTTTTAATCTGAATTACATTCATCGTATATTAAAATAAAAAGTTAGATGGGGGGTAATAATGTCAATACATTTGAGTAATCTTAAGTTAAAGACTAGGGGACTGACATGTGTTATAATTTGCCTTATACCTCCTCCCAGTATCTGGTAATGCATGATTACTAGAAATAACCCGTCAAGAAATGGCGGCGGAATTCGTGAACTTCACATCTACTAAAGTTACTTCTTCCTCTACATATTAAGGGCCCACGATCAATGTATTGATCATTTTGGCTCCTATGCAATGTTCTGTGCCTGGTGTTGATGAGGATATTTCACTGATTGCAAGTGCTACTTTGTGAAGGAAATCATGCACTGAGGATTGGAAGGCTTGAGGCAATAGACGCAAATGTGTCAAGTGTTGTCGCCTCAACTGTTCCTTTTGAAAGCTCGTTCCAATCCCTGGTTGTCTCAGGCAGGAATGAGCAGTTCCTATAAAACATGCGTTCGAGTAACGCACTTTGTCAGATTTAAAGTGAATCGATTTTCGTAAAATAAAAAATAGATTTAAAAATTACCGTTATTTTATTTTATTTTTTTTAGAATTCCATTTAAATTTTAATGGTGGGAATTTTATCTATAGTGTCTATTTAAGACAAATGTGCACTCTGTTCCGTGCAGTTATCGAGATTTTTATTTTGCGCGACTAGTGAACATAGCGATACAGCCATTCGTACTTACATACATACATAGCTATAATAGAGAATTATTATTTGTGACTGAGGCCATTCTTGGCCACTAAAAGATTAAGCCTACATCTCTAATCTTATTGGGATAACCATAATTAATTACAAATGTGATTTTAAAAAAGACTGACAAATTATGATGTTAAGAATTGTCCGATTTGTTATGAGAATTCTTGGGCTTTAAGCATATGCCCTTTGAGATGGTTAGGATTTAATGGTACTGTCATTGCTAAGAATCACACAGTGAGAAACGAACAAACCAACGCATAGCTTACAGGCGTCCCACTGTTGGACCGTGTCTCCGTGTAATTGAAGTCACAAACAATGAAACATAAGAGGTAGGTGCTCATCTTAACGGAACGCCCGAATTTCGTCTTCACAAATCCTGGACGGTCCGTGGGCTCAGTTGACTGTAGGATGGAAAAAAAAAGCCAGGGTTGTATTTATATATAGAGTACTTTGTGGTATTTTTAGATTGTGTCACGTGTACACCTAGGTCGGTTACCCACCAAGATAGCTTTTTTAAAAAAAAATTGTAATTGTCAGTCAAGGCAAGCAGCTTGTATTACCACCAGTATCTGTCTTTTAAAACATATCTGGATATGTTTACAATGTTTCTAAAAATACATGTTAAACCAATGTACTTAGGAACCACATTAAGACCTTCTGTGATTTTAAGCTGTTTTCGCATATAGTGAACTATTCTTAGTGGAGCATGAACGGGACGGTTCTCGTGTGGTGAAGATTCACATTGATTGGCATCAAGT